TCTATATAAGAAAATTGTATATGCAGGTCTACATCTTTATATAGCCCCATACAACGGTACCTTCATTTATTCGGTATTTTGATTATATTACTGACATTACAGGGTGAGATAGAAAAAACTGCAACAAAGTCAAACGACATAATTTTTAAATTTTTTATTTAAATTTTACTGAATGAAAGCAAAAAATGTCAATCAAATTTTAGAATAAGTTTAGATTTGTTCGAATTGGTCACCTTTGGCATGAATAATGGCCTTCAAACGGCCAATGAAACTGTGACACGCTGCCCGAATGTTGCTCTGCGGTATTTTGGCCCATTCCCGGCGAAACGCTTGATTGAGGTGTTCGACAATTTGGTATTTTTTAGTGCCAACCTTGCTTTATTTTCAAAATACTCCAGACTCAATAGTCCAACGGATTGGTTTACAAACTGCTGGACAACGAAAGGTTTCTCATCGGAAAAAACCAAATTCGGCAGTTCACCACTTTCGGCCAAGCGAAGCAACGCTTCAGCTCTTTTGAGTCTATTTTCTTTCTGTTGCGGTTGAAGTTCTTGCACTTTTTGGAATTCCGATGGCTTTACGGTAACGAGCGATGGTACGAGACACTAAAGATGTATTCGCATTTAAATGCTGTGGTTTTCCAGCCAAATATAAAAAAATCACACTATCGCGCTTGAATTCCATCACGAATAACTTTTTTTCTGGAAAATTGTCACCAAAATGCTTTTGTACGCTTGTAAACAATATAATAAGCTGTCACTGGAATAATTTTAACAGCTGTATGACGATTGGCTATAAAATGACAGCAGCCTGAAGTTGGTTGCAGTTTTTCATCTCACCCTGTACTACTATATAATGCTGGTTTTACAATTTTTCACTCAAACACCATTCCCGTACACGAAAACGTGACAAAACTTGCAGTCAAATTGAAGAGAGAATGCAAATATGGTGTTCTCTTTTTTTAATTTTCCGCAACACAACAATTGTTTCCATTCCGCCCTGATCAATGTTTTCGACTATCAAAAATATACCTTAAAAAACTACTATCTCTTCCAGGAGAGAAAGATTGCTGTCTGGTTCAATTCCTACATTGAAATTTTGTCGTATCACCGAGGACTTGATTCCAAAAAGTCATTGGCATTACAGACGACAATTTAGTATGCGTTTTTCCCCAATGTTTACAATATGCAAATTAATTTTATAATGAAAGAATTCCATTTGATTTCAATATTCCCTATTGACTTTAAACTCGCAGCAATATGACATAGTCAAATATTTTAGCTTGAAATTTGCAAACTTAATATAACACTCAGTTTTTCGTAGTTGATTTTTAAATTTCCTCTTTTTTTCAAAAAAGATCTTATTATTAATATATACTGTACTCTACTCGACTCGTATAAAATGCCAATTATTAACTTTTCTAGTTAATAGTTTTTCATTTGTTGCCGTTTAGTTATTGGCATTTCGGAGGAGATATTGTGTAGTTGTGGTAGTGGCGTGTACAATGTACATCCCCCTTCTTGAATGCAATGCTCCATTCACCCACCCATCCATCCTGTGCTCAATATTATCCTCATCATTTGGGTCAGGCTATGCCAGAAAAATAGGACCATCGAACAAAAAGTTATGACTAACATGCATTCGCCTCTGCGAACTTTCGTCTCGATTCAAATGGACTTGCGAAACAAATTCTGCAATAAATGGCGTTGTTGCTGTACGCGCGCCTACTTTGGCATTACTTTCAGGGGAGCAGAGCATGGACGAATTTCATAGAAATCCAAATGCAATCTAATGGTAAATATTAAATACCACTCTCTTACTCTGGAGAGAGTTAAGTGCACACACACACACATACTGGCAAACTTCATTGATTTCTATGAGTTGTAACTGCAGTCAGAGTCGACGAAAGCCACTTGAGGAAATTCATTGCAGAAAATGATGTACACTCTACCCTCAGTGGCCAACCGAGTACACGGAGATAAAATTTCAATTTGAGGCTTGAGAAGGAGGATTGACATTAAAGATTATGACCAATTTCACAAGACGTCTACAGTCTGTGTTACTCTAATGTAACGATTTGGGATCTTCCGAATCAAAATAGACATGTTTTTGAAATGTTTGACATTAAATTGTTTTTGAAGATTCTTCCCTCTCACTTGGGTGCGAGCGCTTCCGAGATACTCCTTTTTTAGAGTGTGAGCCGAATGGCTCGACATAAAGTAGCGTATATCTCGAAATAGAATATGTGGTTTGCTGGTTTGTGTGCGTGTAACAGCAAACAGGTTTTGATGTTGCATGGAACTGTTGGGGAGAGGGGAAATAGTGTACAAAATCAAAGAAGAGAAAAAAAGTAGAAGCAAGGAGCCGGTGGATTTTGTGTACAAATGCAACTACGCTATCATAATCTTTGTCGATCATATATGCTGTGTTTGACACTTTTTAAAGTTTTCGACTGTCACAAAATTGTAAACGTCGAAATCGCCATATACCTGTACAAATCAGAGGGGTAAAATAAAAAGGTGGATATGTATTCATAACATAAGTACATTTTAGTCGCAAAAACGCTATTAATTTCAGGTGACATTCCCTTGTAAAAATAATTCGTTGGGAAACTCACCATTTGGTTATTAGATTGGGTAAATTCAACACTTTATTCGGGTTTTACCTTGTTGATAGACTTTAGGAAACACGTTGCCACATATTACTATAGTGCAGTCTCCAGCGGGTCCTCGTCTTGGTCTTCTTAAACAGCGACAACATTTTATCAGTCGTTGGAATATGAACTCATCACAGTCATCGTGGGTAACTAGCGTTTCTGTTACATCATTCTGACCAGTATAAGCTCTATCTTGAGCGACCACTTGGAGAATGTATGTTGGTAGCAGTAAAGTGTGGAACTTCGGAGGCACACGTTTCACGTATATGTCTCGATAGTTAATAGCTGCAGCGTTTTGTGACAGGTATTTAGGTAGAAGAAAAATTGTTGGGATTGTTGCAAGAGGCGAGACGATCTGAATTGTTGCTAATTTGTAGCCGATAGGAGATAATTGTGAGCAACGGTTAAATCCCAGGGAAGATAGTTGTTAAGACAAAAGTTAAAAATGTAGCGTAGATGTGATGCCGTGCATACCGAAAACAAAATAGGGCGAAATAAACCATTTTGTCACCTTTGAAGTCCCCCAAACTATCAAATGGTGTATATATATACACCACCATATGCATAGATAGACCCTAGATTAACAAGCAAATAAATCAGAGCTCCATATAGGGTAAGTGCGCCTAAATTCGGCATGCCCCAGTAGTCGGCAGTTTTGAAATTTAAACTTAAATAACTAAGAATAGAATTGACCAAATAATGAAATAATTATAAAAAATAAAAAAGGTCAACAGTGTTCTCTGTTCTCTTTCTGTAAAAAAAAAAACAATGACCTCCGATCATTTATTACGAGAGAATAACGGTTTTGGTCAGTGAGTGTCTTCCAACGCGTGTGATAGTGCTTGTTTGTAAAGAAAAAATAGTGATGGCGTCAACTTAATAATCGATTTAAGTAAATTAAATTTAATACCTTTGGAATCAGAAATATTTTATAAAAGTAAGTAACAGTCTAAAGATCATTTTATAACTTCAAAAGTTTACAAATCAAGCATTTTTCTCTTATATTATATAATGCCGACATTAGGAACAGAAAAAAGAGATTTGCCAGTAGTCGGCAGGGGGGTGCCGATTACTAGAAAAATATAATTTTTGACCAATTTCACCAAAACTTGAGAAAACCATTAAAAAATTATCCAAAAACTACTCAAATAAAAAAATATTTTTGTGTCTGCAGTTGCTTTTTGACCAACTTTTCTAAATTAAGTAGGTTTTTTAAATCAGCTATTTGACGTTTTAGATAGCGGTGGCATTTTTGAAAAAAAAAATGTTGGCTATCTAAAGGAAAAAAGATCAGTTCACAAATTCGAAATATAAGAAAGGCACTTTTTTTATTTAATCTCATTTTTATTTTAATTGAAAATCCATACGTTACTGAAGGTAACCCTACTATTCTTAATTTTCTACCTATATTTAGTTTAGAATGATAATTAAATAATACACTATTAAAAAACGAAATTAATTTCAAATTCTGGATTAAACTGTGAATTAGTAATATAGCATTGTTTTATACTATTTGAAATAAAAAATATACAAAATAATATTTTTTTACTGAAATACCATATGCCGACTACTGGTAAATAGACATGCCGAGCATTGGAAAATGGCAAAAAAACTACAATTTTAGTAAAATTGCAAATTTTGCCAATTTTCAATTTTTGTTTATTATTTCGCAATTGAAAGATTTCACTCAGAATGTTGAAACATTGAAAATCCTAAAAGACTTTTTTTATTTCGCTCAAATAAGGGCGAATATTCATCGTTCCTTTAAGAGTTGGAGTAAAATTCACCCAAAATCGACCAGATTCTGCTATTGTCGAGTACTTAATATTCACATAAAGTTAAGCAATTTTATAACATGTTTAAAGGATGCAATGAATGCATTCATAGTACAAGTGTAATATAATATAAGTTAATTATATAGCATTGTATAGTACACATTTTAAAAGTATAGCGTTTTGTTAATGTTTAAAAATGGTTGGGCGCGTTCAAAAGTCTGCTACAAAAGTGTTCGTATGATAAAATCCCTTTACATATGACTCTAACACGATGTGGAAACAGGCCATTACTTTTGTCATGCCGTTGTTAAATTTTTTTAAATAATAAAAAAATTTCTCAACGTGTACCGCATTATTGGCATTGAATAATATGGAGCTGTACAAGACCTTTGCAAACATTACAACTGCTACTACCACTATTTTTCTTTTTTTTTCATTTAAATATTCTTGTTGTTGCTGTTGAATTTGTTTAAGTTCTTTTTGTTGTTACTGACTAAAGTTTACTTTTTTATTTGGTTCGGAACGCTTTCATCTGACTGTATTTTTTTCGTTCTCTGTTGTTATTGCAGGAGTTGGCAGAGTACTTGGAAATCGTTATAAATTGGGCGAAAAAGTGCTCGTTACCAATGGCGATAAGGCAAGCGGCAATTTTATAAAATATGATGTTGAAGTTCGTGATGCCGATGTGGTAAGTAATACCTTTCATTTGATTCTTCTTTTCCGCTAGTTTATGGCCAGGCCGCTGATGCTTGTGGCCTACAGCCTTCTGCTCCTTCTGCTCTGCTGGCTGGTTGGCTGGCTGCCGTGCCTTTTATATATTGGCCATGTATGCTGCGTGTATTCATCGTGCAATAATACCAAATATCAAACAAGAAAGCAAACAGGCAACCAACCAGCCAACCTATCGTGATTTTGTATTTTATAACACTTCATCATTTTCCATAGAAGAGGCAAAATACAGGCATGACCATAGGAATCGGTACAAATGTTAAATGATGTCGGTCAATTTGATTAAATCTGATATCATTTAATAGAATTCAATGAATGAATTTTAGACTAACATATTGTCGGACTAACATATGGAGTCGGTCTTGCCTTGTGCGCCCTTCTGGCTAGAGATTAACAAATAAATATTTTTGCCAAACTTAGATAGTATTTTTAGCGACAGGTTTCGAAAGTACTTTTAAACATATATGATACGCGCCTTGCTACTCCTTTCGCTCTTATATGCATTCAAAATTTTATATACACATTTATATAGAATAAATTATATACAGGGTGAGATAAAAAACTTCAACGAGGTCAAACTGCATAATTTTAACATTTTTTTTAATTTTATTGAATGAAAGCAAAACATATCGGAAATAGCATCAAATTTTAGAATAAGTTTAGATTTGTTCGATTTGGTAACCTTTGGCACGAATTTTGGCCTTCAAACGGCCAATGAAACCGTCACACGCTGCCCAAATGTTGCTCTGCGGTATTTTGGCCCATTCCCGGCGAAGCGCTTGAGGTGATCGACACTTTGGTATTTTTTAGTGCCAACCTTTCTTTCCAAAATACTCCAGACACAAGACTCCAACGGATTGGTATCCGGAGATTTTGGTGGCCATTGTGCGCTGGAAATGAAGCGAGGAAGCCCATTTTGAACCATTCTTGGGTGGCGCGTGCTGAGCGCGATGGTGCTGAGTCCTGAACTGAGCTGTCACTGGAATAATTTTAACAGCTGTCGGACGAGTGGCTTAGAAATGACAGCAGTCTGAAGTTGGTTGCAGTTTTTTCATCTTACCCCGTACATGAAATTGGACGAAAAAATATGTGGGAGCTATATCCAAATCTGAACCGATTTCAATATAATTTGACAAAATTATTTTCCGATCAAATACCGTCACTTATTCCAAATTTCATTGGAATCGAGCATACATATCGTGTTTGGTGAATCAAATTAACGAAATCAGTCGAAAATATATATGGGAGCTATATCCAAATCTGAACCGATTTCAATGTAATTTGGCAAATTTATTGTTACCGATTTCCATTACACATTTTAAATTTGGAGACGGTATCCATAACCGATCAATATAGTTAAGTGCATCCAAAAATTACATTTTCTGGAGATACCTCCGATAATAATGCTATATTACCAGTTCCAAGTGGAATTTTAAAAATGTATATAGCCTATGTTACATTCAGGCGATGCTGTAGTATATATGAAAATGTTGAGACTTACGTACAAACATTTTCCTCTTTTATAGATATAGATGAATAGTATATACGCAATTTCATAAAAATAAATATCCAAAATACCGATAGAGCCGGTTTGGATACTGTATAGCAGATTTAATTTGAAAGTTCTTAAACGTAAATCTTTTTAGGATCATTTACGACAAAATCTATATTCCGAAAAACTCAATTCCGACACAAAATTCGTCGTAATTAATTTATGGACATATCTGCATTTAGACACACTACTTGCACAGAGTGTACGCAAAAAATGAACGACGATTGCAATTTCAACATGCCTTTTCGTTTCGTTTCCCCCATTTCAACGCCTATATTTGGATTCAGTTGTGAAGTGGAGTTTCTGTGTTGTTTCCTCTTTCGCTTGCTGTTAATCGTTTTTTATTTCATTATTCATCCAATCGTATTGTATCGTATCGCCATAACGTATCGTTGGGAAATCATGCCAATCGGAGAGAATATGGTGCGGTTGGCCAAAGTCAATATTTGGTTAAATGAAACACAACAGAAATTTGAGCTTAGCAATCATTGAAAAGAAATTGGTCAATACCATCAAGTTAATCACGCCCCACAATTTGGCAATGAACTGGCGAAATATGACAAGGCATATTTTAGTTCAATTTGTTGGCAAGTAATTACAAAAAAATCGGGATTGTACATACATAACCCAATTATCCTAGAATGACCTAGAAGGAGATACTTTTTTTACATTCCACATACATATTTTATCTTTTATTATTGCTTAAACGGGGTAGGAGGCGGCATAATATTTACTTACATTTTTATTTACTTACTCATTTTGTTGTAATTTCTATTTGCTTTCAGATACAATTTGAAAAATCCTATGATATATTCAGTGGATCCCTTTATCGAGGACATTTTGTTGTTCGCAATCACTTGCAAGTGGATAAATTTACAAATTTGGTAAGTCTTCCGATGCGGACAACGAAACAGAGCTGCATCTTAAGTGCCCTTCTCGACGGACTCCTTGAACTGTTTTACGACTACGACTATTCAATGCATTCGAAGTTTAGTTTTTTATGGGAAAATCGCAATGATTTAACGACCACCATAAAAGACCGGACTGAGTTTAATTTTTATGACTGGCTCTTCAATCGACCGTAAATTGATTTAACGATGTGATTTTGAATAGTCACTCGGTATTTAACAATTGTCTTGTGTTTATTTTTTTTGTTTGTTCTTCTATTTAAGGTGGCCAAGAATATTTCAAAATGTTCGACATTGCTGGAGAAAATTCCTGTGAAATTATTCACTTGCGTTCTTAAATCCAAACAAACTTTGGGTCAAAAACTATTGGAACATTACAAGGTAACACCAATATTTGAGGCTGAGACGGGTCGCTATGCCTGTCAAATTGATTTGAAGACAACGTTCAATGAGATTCTGTCTATTGTCAAAACCAATGACATTCACTTTGAAATGGAGGTGAGTACCCCAGAAACACTGACGCATTGCAAACACTGACATTAATTTAAATGCATTACTTTAAAGGTATCTCTGCCCAATGGTCTGACCGATAATATCTCACTTAAGTTTGTTCCCGGCATTAAAGTTACACCCGAAGCGTTTGCATCTGAAAATGATGCAGCTGAACAGGATTTAACAATAACTGGCCTTGATAAAGTCTTGCAAAAAGTTGAGGTAAGTTCAAAGTTTTTTTTATGAAACTATTGTTTTGAAAATACTGTTATTAAAGTGTGATACTACGACAAAGACATTTGGCAATCCCAAAGTGACTAGTATTTCTAATCGAATAACTTTCGGTCGACTTGTCATCGATAGATTCTTTTGCTTGAAATCGTTTAAATCAACATTGAAGTCGATCTTGATGTCAGCCCCAGTCTGGCCAATCTATTTTGTCTCATATTTATTCTGGTCAAATCACTTACAATCTTTTTTTTTCTGGATTTTATTTTTCGGCAAAATATTTAATGGAGTTTGGAGCTTTCTGTGGGAACTTATTCTGCTGTTCCTGTTTAATATTGTTTTACTATTTGGTATAGTTTTCTGTTATGCATTCCCACATCTTGGGGGATTCATCCATTTTAGTCACAAAGATTCACATCCACTGAAACTTTGACGACTATAGCGTTAGCTTACTTCATTTCCATCTGAAATTTTGCATTTTATGTTCGTATCATAAGAAAAATTTTCTTGAAAAATATTTAATATATGTACAGGTTTTAAAACTTCTCTAAGGTAACGAAAGCCATAATTTTAGTATGCCATAAAAAGCTCGACTGGACCCGCAACGAAGAATCACCCTTTTATTTATTTAGTTATATATCATTATATCATTTGATACGCCCTAAACGTGCCTCATCGAAATAATGGCTTTAAACTCTAGCTCTCTTTGGACCAAATCCGTTTCAGAACATTTGAAGACGTTCTCGCGCTGTTCGTCCGTCTGTCTCGCAGTGGCACACGATAAATCTCGAAGGCAGTATTTGATTTGGTTCAAACTTGGTACATCGTAATATTATTGTCAAACTTAGATCGAGTTCGGAGATGGGCAATATCCGTCCATTTCTTCTGGTTCCTCCCCTATAAAAGGTCAACATTATAAAAAAATGCTGCACAGAAATAGAAAGGATAATCTGATTCTGCTCTAACTTTGAAAAATCCTTATATTTGCATCAGTACTAAGTCAGGTGCGAAAATGGACAATATCGATCCACTCCATCAAGTAACTCCCGCACAAAGTGTCAAAATTTTGAATAATTATAATTCATATACAATGTGAAGTAAGAGTCCGATTGTCTTCAAATTACATACAACACAAAGATGAATTATATCGGTCCACTCCTTTTAGTACCTCCCCCACAAAGTATCAAAATTTTGAATTGCCAAAACGTTTATAAAATCCGAAATAAGCACACGGTTGTCTTCATATTTTACACATCCCATTATTTCTACTAACACAAGATATGTTGTGAAGATGCGATATATCGGTCTACTTCTTCTGGTACCTCCCTCACAAGGGGTCAAAATTTTAAATATCCACGAAGCTCATAAAAAGCTAAATTAACATCCGATTCCTTTCATGCTTGGTACATTTCAATATTTCCATCAACACCATCTACCCATTTCTTTTGGTACCTCCTGGATTTCGCATAAAATGTTAGATTTTCTTGTAATTTTGCCCAATACCAATATTGTTGTCTGTAATAGTTGAAGTATGAAAATGAAATATATTGGACAATATTGACCCATTCCTTCGGAACCTACTCCATCGAGGGTCAACAATTTGAATAATCATAACAGAAGTCAAAATATATTTAAATAATCGAATATTGGCTGAGGGTATACCTCAGTCTGTAAAACTGACTGATACTTTTTAAATTGTTTTAAATATTAATATATGCGTACGAAAGACATTTGACGCCCCCATTGAAATCATAGACGGTTATACCTCTTGCCAAAGAATCGCATTTATATTTTAGAACGAAGCTTCTTTTTTTATTAGATTTGTCGATTGTTGTTCATTTCACAGGCGGCAAATGAAATATGAATATATAATATCCGCTACCATTAAATATTTCTAATATTACTACAACAAATATATTTATTACCCCTCTGATGAGATTGGGGAGAAAAGAAACGTTTTTTATACTAAATATACCCTCCGACCGTGGTCCATTTCTATGAGCACTACCACGAAAAGATACCTCAAATTGAAAAAAATAACAGCAAAACAAAAATAAATAACTAAATAAGTATTCCTTATTCCCAGAGTTGAGTCCTTGTTGCTGCTCCGCTCTGCAGTTATTTTGTTTGCTAATATCGTTGTAGCTTTTTCTTCGCTGTTGTTTGTCTTACTCTCATATTCGTTACACAAAGTTTTGTTGTTATGAGAAGTATTTACTTTTTATAAACTTGCCAAAATAAAAGAGCAGAGTCAAAAATGGTATGAAAAATAGTTTGGAATAACTTAAAACTTGAAAATCCATTTTTATTTACAGAACTTCGTTAGGTACGCATAGCTCTTCACTTTATATTTTTAATGTTGGCTGTGACCGGTCCCAACCAATTGCCGCCCTCTTTGCAAACTTGTAAAGCTGATGGCAGAGGACAACGGTACTCCCAACACCCTGGATAAAACAGCAACTGACCATTATGTCCACAATTGCATTCAACTTGAATCTTGTAAATGTCAGCTTGACTTGGCAGTCAGTCATTCCAAAGTTTCTTATCTATTTCGTTCTTACGTTCTCTGTCATATAAGCTGGCTTGACTGACCACTTTCCTGCCTCAGAGCATACGAGGAGTTTGAAGGTATTGTTTTTTGTTTTCGTTTTGCTATTTTTCTATGGCACGAAATAAATATGTATGAGTTGAGAGGCGATTCAAAGTAGGATTTGGTGGTATCCTGTGCGAATTTTGTCCGTTGTCCTACGGCCCTCTTGAGAAGGAGGGAAAACGAACGCAAATGGTTGCATGTCTGCATAGAAATGCAATTCTTGCTAACACCCATGTTGGTGGCAAAGGTATCGTAAACGGTTGAATTGTAGATGCCTGTTTGTCTGAATGACTGACTGCTTGACTGTCTGAATAAATAAATAAATGAATGAATGAACGAACGAACGAACGAATGTATGAATAATCCTCTATTCCTTTGTCTGTCATAGCATTTGGCACACTTGGAGAAAAGTGATGGTAAAAATTGTGATGCTTTAAAGGGAGTTTCCAGAAGAGTCAATTTCGTAGATAGAAGCCTATTTGTGGCGTGGTATAGATAGAAGCCCTGACTTTTTACATGTGTTCTATAGATAACTTTTTCAAAATGTTTAAATCTTAACAAGTTGGATTTGGAAATAAAACGGTAGTCTCCAATTTTTATGATATATACAGGGTGAGATAAAAAAACTGCCACAAAGTCAAACGCAATCATTTTTACATTTTTTTTTTAAATTTTTAGTGAATGAAAGCAAAAAATGTCGGAAATAGCATCAAATTTTAGAATAAGTGGCCAGCAATTTTAGAATAAGTCTACGGGGGTTTTGGTGCTTTCTTATTTTTTTGACGCTTGCTGTTTTCTTCCGTCCACTTTCTTGACGTCGGGCGACGCTACCAGTGTCACGATAACGAGCGATGGTACGAGACATAAAAGTTTTATTCATATTTAAATGCTGGAGTGCTCTAACGATAGCTACGCTTGAATTCCATCACGAATATAATTTTTTTCTGGAAAACTCTCACCAAAATGCTTTTGTACACTTGTAAACAATATAATGAGCTGTCACTGGAATAATTTTAACAGCTGTCGGACGTGTGGCTTAGAAATGACAGCAGTCTGAAGTTGGTTGCAGTTTTTTCATCTCATCCTGTATACAGTTTATTTGTAGGTTTATAGGACTAAAAATTTCACTCTGGATGAATAATTTAATATACCTTCAAATATAATCGGAAACGTTAAAAAACGCGACTTCGGAGTTGAAAACTGATCAATAATGGCTCGAACTGCACCCTGCAGCCCAATAATATACAACTTTCAAAATATCGAAAACCATGAGTTTCCGTTATAGAAAGGATTACCTTTTGCAGTTGTTCCATGGATAAATGAACTCATCAAAATAGACCTCATTTAAATAATTGAAAGGGAATTTGACATTTTCGAAATTCACACAAATTTGAAAAGTGTAGTTTCTGTCTTCATGCTTCATTTGGGCGCCGTGGCCTGTCGCATACAGGCGGCGGCGACCATAGGAAGGAAAAACATTACGAAAGTTTTTTTAATCGAAAGATTGATTGAAGCAATACATGAAAAGTTTCATTGTTTTAGTTTTAATACGTTTTTCTTTTGCAATGTCGTTGTTTTTCGTTTAGTTGTGTTAAAGAAAAATCCAAAAAAAAAAAAGAACTGAAACTATTGTCATTTATCCATCATTGGGGAATATACTGCACAGTAACTGCTGTGTATTTTAGCTTTACCTTCTGGCTTTGTGCGATGCGGTGCGATGTTTTTATTGTTTTTTTTTTTATTTGTTGTTATAAAGTATTACGTTTTTTCTCTTCATTCTTTTTCCTGGAATGTCGATTTTGTTCTAATGGAAAAATCCCTCAGGAATATGTTGAACTTTTTGTGGTTACCTCGTTTTTTTTCGCAAGTCGAGTCGAGTCGAGTCGAATCGAGTCAGGTTAGGTCAGATCAGGCCACCAATACATGGAGGAATAGTATCATGCTATTCGTTGTTGTATGTTTGTTGTACAACATATTTATTGTGGGTGGCTAATATTGACAGCTCCTAACCTCCTTACATTCATGAATAACCCAAATGTCCGATAATTGTGAGCTGTGCCACACAGCGCAGAGAATATTTAAAGGCTGAATTGTTTTTTTATTGCATTTCCATTAAATATATTTAATTAAAATTATTATAAAAACAACAACCAAAGCTGTTACAATTAATATAGGTCACTGGTTAGTGAAATTCCATATGGACACGTTACAGTTTAAGCGCAAAAAAAAACGAATTACAACAAATGTAATTTAATGTTAAAACCAACATCTGTGCGGATTGTTTGTTTTCACACTTTGAAGCGGCTGTGGTCTGTTCGAGGAGCCGGAGGTCATATTCCCCTTGGATCAGAAATTACTCCCCCCAAGAAAAAAAATAAGGACTTTTGTGGTTATGGGTACT